GTGTCCACCCAGAAGATACAAATTGGCAATGAATGCTTTGGAGGGATAGTCCTAGTGAGCCCATGAGTACATTTAGATTAGTGACAGTTACATATGGAACTGCCTGTGCGCCATATTTGTCTACTAGAGTAATGAAACAACTTGCATTAGATGAACAAGTGAGATTTCCTTTAGCATCAAAAATTGCCCTTCGTGATTTTTATGTTGATGATTTGCTTTCAGGGGCAAGAAGTGAAGAGGAAGCGAATGTTCTAGTTCAGCAGTTGAATGAAATGATGAAAATGGGTGGATTTCGCTTAAGGAAGTGGATTTCAAACAGTTCAGCTATTTTAGAGAATATTCCCGAGTGCTTACGAGAATCCAGTATTTCTCTTGAAATAAACAGTGACAAGAAAGTAAAAGTATTGGGAATTAATTGGAACAACCTCTAGTGATACGTTTCATTTTTCGGTATGCATAAGTGATAAAGAGTTTACTAAGAGGACTATTTTATCAGAAGGTAGCCAAAATCTTTGATCCAATGGGATGGTTAGCGCCAACAATAATATACGCGAAAATATTATTACAAGAGTTGTGGAACTTTACAGCTGGGTTGGGATGAAATCGTTGATAAGAGAATAAGTAGAAAATGGAAGCGTTTCTATCCTAGAACTGCCCTTACTTTACTGCCTCAAGCTTACAATTTCCGAGGTATGTCTTGAGTCCGAAGGCAGTAGTTATAGATAATCCATGCTTTCTTTCTGCGACGCTTCAGAAAAGGCTTATTGTGCAGTCATCTATCTCCGTAACAATCGAATCTTGATTCGTCAGTCAAAGTCAGCCTTCTGACATCGAAAACCAGAGTAAGCGCCCTTAAAAACCCAGTCTCTTCCGAGACTAGAGTTGTGTGCTGCGTTACTTTTAACCAACCTCTTACATGCAGTATTATCATGCATAGAACTGTCTATTAACAATATTTACGCATGGACCGACTCGCGGGTTACATTGGCATGGGCTCGTCCGAACCTCGCGTTGGCTACCTTTTGTGGCAAATCGAGTTGCAAAAATCCAGGAAGCTGTTCCAGGTATTCAATGGAAATTATGTTGCTGGGAAAGAAAATCCTGCAGACTGTGGGACCAGAGGTTTTATTCCATCAGAATTCTTACGAATGTGAGTTATGGATGAAGGGACCGCAGTGGTTAAACGAATCCCCTAATTCATGTACAGCAAAATTCAAGTGTAGAATTAGAGGGTAAATGTTAGGTCATGTTGAAGGAATTGAAAAAGAGTTTCAGTTCAAATGTTTCCAAATTTGAAGAGCCTAGTGTGTTTTCAAGATTTTCGTCATGGTTAAAGTTATGTCGAGTGTTAGCGTGGTGTTTAAGATTCAGAAATAATTGTAGTAAGTTACCTACAGAGCGTATAAAGGGTTATTTATCTACTGAAGAATTCTGTGAAGTTACTTCTATGATTGTTAGGATTGTGCAAAGAGCCGAATTTCCAGAAGAATTAGTCTGTTTAGAATCTGGTAAACCCTTAAAGACATCAAGTAAATTACTGTCTTTAAGTCCTTTCTTGGATTCCGCGGGAGTAATGCGTGTAGGCGGAAGGCTCAGAAACTCTACAGTTTCAAATAGTCAGAAACATCCTATGATTTTACCTAAGAATCACAACATTACGCGTTTAATTATTAAGCATTATCATGACACGTATCTTCACGCAGGTACGCAGCTTCTCACTTCTGTCATACGACATAGATTTTGGATTGTGAATGCTAGAGATATTATAAGAAAGCGTATAAACCAATGTGTTATCTGCCGTAGAGTTAGAGCGCAAACTGCAACTCAGCTAATGGCAGATTTACCCGCTTCAAGAGTTACTCAAAGTAGAGCTTTTTCTCGTGTAGGGATTGATTTAGCAGGACCATTTAACGTTAAATATCGTCCTGGTAGAGGAGTCAAAATCTTTAAGTGTTACGTATGTCTATTTATTTGTTTTACTACAAGAGCAATAAACTTAGAATTAGTGGGAGATCTTTCAACAAAATCATTCCTTGCGACACTTAAGCGGTTTATAGCTTGTAGAGGCAAACCGTGTGAAATTCACAGTGATTGTGCAACGAATTTTATAGGAGCTAATAAAGAATTAAGAAGAGCCTTTTCTATTGTTCAACGTGATGAACAGCTACAGGGTTATATTTCTTCAGAAAATATTAAATGGTCATTTAATCCTCCCTCTGCCCCTCATTTTGGAGGGCTTTGGGAAGCGGGTATCAAGTCTATGAAACATCACTTAAAAAGATGTTTAGGAACACTTATTTTAACATACGAGGAATTTTTGACATTAATAACCCAAATTGAATCCTGTCTTAATTCTAGGCCTTTAGTACCAGCTTCAAGTGATTGTAGCGACTTGGAGGCGATAACACCAGGACACTTTTTAACCGGAGCGGCTTTAAGCGCTATTCCAGAATCTGAACCAAATTCAAGAAACCATGAAGCTGCAGTTGACCGTTGGAGGAACGTGCAAAGGTTATTTCAACATTTCTGGAATCGTTGGAGCAGTGAGTATTTATCTAGATTGCAGCAGAGACCCAAGTGGTGCAAGGTACAACAAGACCTGAAGATTGGTGATATGGTTCTTATTAAGAACGAAAATCTACCTCCGCTACGATTGGAAATTAGGTAGAATTATTACAAGTGTATCCTGGTCTGGATGAGAAAAGTTCGAGTGGTGAGTTTACGCACGTTCTAATGATGGTGAAATAAAAACGACCTATAGCAAAGCTATGCGCTTTGCCATTTAATTCCTGATTTAGAGAACTTTAATTTTTATTTTTCAGGTTTATTCAGTTCAACAGTTAAATTTATTGTTTGAACCCCCTTGGGACTTCAAGGCTGGGGGTATGTTTGATGTTATGCAAATTGTATTTCTTTCTTTGTACCGAGGAGCGGCGCAGACGCAAATTTGTTAGGTTTTTAAAGCTTGCGTTTAGAGCTTTGAGGTTGCTGTGAATTACTGGAGTTTCAACTAAGCAGAGGTTCTTCTGAGTTTGTGTTGGTAAGCCGTACTGAGTTCGGAGTTGGCAGTGTGGTCTTCGCCGTTCCTCAACTAACTTACTATTTGAAAGTCAAATAAAGAAGTTTCGGTCAACGTTATGAGTTTGAGGTTTTTTGGGTTCTATACTGAAGTAATATCAAGTCAATTTACAGTCCACTATTTTTAAACAACGGAACGTACAACCACATTTTGAACACACAATTTAAGCTAAAAATCCGAAACAAAAAAAATTTATATAGCAAAAACGTAAAGTTTCTAACCAAAAGTATTTTACAAGAATCCATGTACACAGCGATATGTTTTAACTTAAAAAACATCTATGAATGGCACAATCTAGGCAACAAATGAATCTACGAACTACGCACACGTTGCTTTAATAAATTAACATAACAATAATAAATTTCAAAGAATACCATGTGCACACCATCCTGTTTAAACTTAAAAAAAAATCTGAGGATTGCACAATCTAGGCAGCAAACGAATCTACAAACTACGCACACCTCGCTTTAATAAATTAAGATAACAAAAATAAATTTCAAACAATACCATGTACACAGCATTCTGTTTCAACTTAAAAAAACATCTACGAATTGTATAATCTAGATGCTACTCACTAATCAACTAACATAACAAATTTCAAGCAATTCAAAAAAAAAAAAAAAAAAAAAAAAACAATAACGACATAAATTTATAGTGAAAAACAATGAACATAACATTCTGCAAAATAAGCACAAGAATAAAATAAAATGCACTTACCATGAATTAATGCTTTTTCGAACAGCAGAAATACCAATTTCATACCACCTTTAACATGCTGCCACGTAATCACTATCGTATTTATATGACAGCTAGAAAATTCATACTATGGTTCACAAATAAATAAAATAACAAATAATCACAAATCCCTACTTCTATCATGCACAACCACTAAAAATAATCTCCCGGACCCTCTTTCCACACCTCCAAATACCCACTGGACGTCTCAACAGGATGGCCACGATGATATTTCCTTTTGCCGAACTTCATTTCAACAACTTCCACCATTTTATTCCCCCCCACCTTCTCAGACACAGAGCATGACGCGAACCAACGAGCTCCAGCGAAAGATTTTTCAGCGTCAACAGGGTTGCCATACATCACGCAATCGCACCAAAAACCAGCGCTGAACACAATTGCCACATTTGTTGAAATTAGGGTCCTATATCAGAGTTGTACCAAAACATTTAAAGCAAAACAAATAATGTTAATACCAGGGAATAGTTTTTATTTGCTTGCAAGAGTAGCAAATTGTTGCTCAAAGAATAAAATTGTTGCATTAGAAAAATAAGTAACGGTTTTAAAATACTTAATTTGATTCTCAGCATCTTTTTTTTTTTTTTGTTTAGAAATATATGTTTAGAAAAATATGTAAGATATAACAAAATATGATAGCCGTTTCAAAAAAATAATTGCCAACCTCAAAATTAACATTCTAAATTTGGTGATTGGTCAAGAGGCATCTGCATTAAGGGTTACGTAAGATTGCATGATTAATTTGAATGATGCAGCTTAGAGTAAAGCGCTATTTTTAAAACAGATAGATGAAGTTCCCGAATGAAATAGAACATAAAAGAGGTTATAGTGAATTTAATTTAGAAGTTTGCTTTCATATTTTTTGTCTTAGAGTCATTTCTCCCCTTTCAAAAGAAAAAGGCGAAGTGATAGGGAAGCCTTTTTTTTTTGACAGCGAAATCTTCTGTAGAACGCCGCTTTGTTTTAGCTTCACTGTGATTGGTCGACGCTTATCTCAGACTTAACATAAAAGCCCTGGCAACGGAGCTCGTCTTTAACCACTTATGCCCTTTACGCCCCCGTCTGAACGCAGCTTAATATACTTAATAGCAAAATAAATTGAAATGTATTCTGTTGTGTGTTATATATGTTTTTCAGAATGTTTTAAATTTTGTGTTGGTTATTTTAGGAAGAGGTGCGTGACCTTCTTTCTTCAGAGCCGAAGAAAAAATTGGAAGTTCGAGAAAGAAATGATACTGGTGTTTATGTGAAAGTAAGCTGTTTGGCAATAATATGAAAAATTAAAAAAATTATATAGACATCAAGGTATGTGACTCCATTCATAAAACTGTCCACATTTGATTTAATTTCAAACTTTTTACTTTTTTTTTTTTTTTTTTTTTTTTTTTGTAGGATTTGACAGCTACTGTGTGTAAAACAATTCAGGATCTTGAAAAAGTGATGTTAGATGGGAAGTACAATAGAAGCATTGGGTAATTAGAACTGTTTTTAATACATATCTTAAAACGTATTTCTACAAAGAGTTAATTCTCATGCTTGTGAAATATGTCATAGCTGCCAACACTTCTGGGTTTTCATCACACTCTTAGTCTCCTGGTAGAAAACCGAATCCCATAGTTTTTATTTTCAGTCTTTGCTAAGGAAAATATTTCATAGAAATAAATGAAATTTATGGAATTAAGGATATTTAAATTGTGCAAATGCAAATCCACGCAATAGCAATATTCAGTGTAATGGTATCAAATTTTACTTGATTTAAATTTTCTTAATCTACTGCCATTCATTTGTAGAACTATTTATGAAGAGTCAACTGTGTTAACCATTAATGCTCGTATTTAGTTTTGTTTTACATGAATGTATGGTATATTGCTAACTTTATCCATGTAATACTATGCACATTAACTATTATTTTTATCATATTTAAAAGTATGTGAATAAATAAATGTTTTATTTCTTTATTCAGGATTTTCTCAGTATAAGATTATAAGAAACTTGCGAAATGGAAATTGGCCAAATATCTTAAAATTTAGAATAACTGATTGAATATTAATATATTCTGCATGAAAATCATATTATAAATAATTCAGTAACCTAAGTTTGTGCATTAGAAAGTAAATTTATAGTTTGGAATTCTGAAATGCCATCAGCAAAATGGCAAAATCCTCCTCGAAATTCTGTTTCTATTTAAGAGTCTCCTGGTTTTCTGCATTTCAAGATGGGTACTGTACTGATTGACAAGAAATGGAATGTACAGGAATACGACAATCGGATTTTACAGAGATTCATTATAATTCAAAAAATCCATACCAAAGAATAACAGGAGAAGTTAAACTAATGAACCAGCATTAAAAAAAATGTTACATGCATTGAATAAAGGAAAATTAAATACAGGGTGTCTATAATTAAAGAACCCTATTTCAAAGCTGCCTACAAGTGAAAACAGTGATTAGAAATTTGTGAAATTTTGTGGTGGACTTAATGAATGGATGAGAATTTCTTTCAGTGGAAAAAATGAGTTACAAATATCATCACCAGAGGGCATTTTACTTTGAAAACCTGTAGTAAAAATGTAAATCATTTCAATATCATGTAGCAGCTGTTATAAAACCTGGAAACATTGTCGGAGACTTTTCAACATGCTTGCTGCTCACAATGATGATAAATTTATGAGATCGCGCTTTATTAGTAAAATTATTTTACCAAAAGTAATTTCACAATAGTTGCTGCATGGAAATTCAGACTAAGACGTCCAATGAATGTTAAAAAATTTCGAAAATGAAAACAAAATGTGAAGAAAGAAGATCGTTTTTCTGTTCGTTCTATAAGAGGAAGAAAACTGGTTTTCTGCCCAAGCAGTACTGGAGATTGCAGTTCAAGCCATAGAGGCCCACAGCTTCAAACTTTCAGGCTAGCACCAGTGTCCGGTTTATAGCAGAGGCGATGGATAGACCACATTCAGCTGACCATAAGACTTTCAGAATATCTTCTGATATTATCTTTACAAACCTTCACTAGTGCATCGGTTGCTTCCACAAGATTTTGATGCTCGACTCCAGTTTTCCCATCAGTTTTTTTGCGGTCGATACATATTGGCCTTTGAATATCCTCTGGACAGAGGAGCATATTTTCATTTGGATGGTGCAGTGATTACTGACAGTTTCCAAATTTGGGAATCAGTAAATCTGCACCATGTCTTAGAGGTTCTGTTGCATTCATCAAAAGTAACGGTCTGGTGTGGATTTTCTGCATCATTTATTGTCAACCCATACTTTTTCGAGGAGTTAAGTTCCACAGATCCAGTGACATGCTCGATCACTGGGCAACGATATGCATCACTGTTAGAGAACGAAATTGTTCCATTTTTGCAAGCGTGTCAGTGCCTTGTATGCATAATCTTCATGCAAGTTGGAGCTCCTCCACATATTGCATGGTGTGTTAGGAATGTTCTTAAACATCATTTTACAGAAGAATGTGTTATTCCCAACCTCCAGAGCTCAATCCATATGATTTTTGGTGTTGGGGAAATTTGAAACATTTGGTTAGTCGTAAAAATCCAAGCACTTTACCTGATCTGAAAGCCAGCATTTCGTGCCACATGCTAAACATTTCTCAGTGCACACTTTGGTCAACTGTGGAACATGCCATCTTATGGTTTCATATAGTAGATGAAAATAATGACCAGCATGTGGAATATGTTTTTTTGGTAACAAAATTTGTAAAACTATTTTTAAAGGTATGGCTAAATATATAATTTATTAATAAAACACCTTCTGATGACATACTTTGTAACTAATTTTCTTTTCTGCTGAAAGAAATTCTCATCCCTTTCTTAAGTACGCCACATAATTTTATAATTTTCTGGTTTCTTAAAAACAACTTTGAAATAGGGTTCTTTAATTGTTATTCCCTGTAGTTGAACCCCACTTTAACAAATTCAAGGGACCTGAAGTTTGGTTCGCTGTAACTGGTGATTCGCTATATCCAATCCAAGAAGAAAAATATAATATTTAAAAAAAAAAATCTTATCTTTCAAATTTTGTATTACTCTGAAAGGGGCATTTTTTAAAGTTTTGTGTGTTATCTTTATTTATTAAATATTATTTTCTTCGCACTTAGACCATAAAATTCAATTCAACAGTAATATCAAAAAATATTTAAATAAGCATATTTTTAGAATTTCCAATACATGGTTCTCGCGTGCTGTAGATGAAAAAAAAAATTTTTTTTCATAAAGTTTTCCCACTGCTCACTTTGAAATCATCAAGTTTCTTAATCAAAAACTGATAAATGCTTTACAAAATATGAAATAGATAATAAAACAAATTCCAAATTTCGGCTTTCAGATGCTGATATTCGGGTGGAGACATATGTTATTTAAAATTTCATGGCTCTAGGTACCATTGTTTTATCACAATGCAAAAAACATTTATGCAGATTCTTCATTATTTAATTTCTTTAAATATAATACAGGGCTGTAATATTTGGTGGCAACAATTTAAAAAGTTTTTCGCCATTTATAGTGAATCAATGCAAAATGCCAAAACGAAATTAATAGCCCTTCTGAGCAGATTGCTCCTTTGGGCTAAAAATGTGTGAGAATAAATTGATAAATCACACACACACACACAAAAAAAAAAAAAAAAAAAAAACCCAAACATTATTGCATTTGAAAAAAGAAGTAAATAATAAATTTAGTTTAAAAAATGATGTTAAGATTTAATTCAAAATTATTATTGCACACAGTTTTTAAATTTGCTGTTTACTCTTTCCCAGTTTTACTATATGTTAATAATTTTACACAATAAAACACTTAACACAAATATCATTCTTTATATTCTTCTCTCAAATTAACCACTTTCAACTGTAAATAAATATTTTATTCATATAGATATGCAGATAATAAAGAAACTAAAAACGAATAAAAAATAGTATCGGCGAATTTACTTCTAAGTAAAAAGAATGTCGTTTTTGCTACTGTGATGCAGAGAGCAGCAAAATTTTATTTATGGTTGCAAGGCAATGATTTAGTAACCTTCATAAAGGGTATCCTGTGTTGCAAAAGACCTAAAGAAATCACAAATCTTTTTTGAAGTATGTAATGTGGAGAGCATTTATTTTGAAACAAAAGAAGCCAATAAAGATCAGAATTTCATTCCCTGAAACATGAATAGTTGGTATAGCCTCCTATGATTCACTAGATCCTCTTTTCCTGAATAGCAAAAATTTCAAAATTTCCATCATAGCATCAGTTTTGATTAGAGCTCTGTCTGACAGCTCAGAGAAAAAATTTGAATGGAGTCTGAGACCCCATTCATGTTCTTTGGTCCAACAATAACTAATACTGTATGGTGTTCTAAGATATGCTTCCTATGTCCTTAGTGATCTAGAGTTTGGTTCACACCTGTCTTATAGAGACTTTGCTTAGAACACAGAAAAGTGAAGGTAAGAAAAATAAGTGTTTTTCTTTATGGATGGAACGTGGATCCTAGTATTTTAAATGTGGATGATTTTAAGGGTTAGTAATTTTTTCATTTAAACTTTGACAAGTTTAAGAAAAATATGGAAAAGAGTTTCAATCAAAGATATTCATGCAGTTCATTATGTCTGATTTTCGTACCTTTGAAAGTTTACTTTAGCAATGTAAACATTAAGTGTTATAGCGAACAGTGTAGTGTAATTTAGATTAGTGTAACTTTTGGAGGAGACCAAAAGATTCATTATAATGGGGTTCAGTTGTAGTTCTAATATTCTAAAGAGCTTGAGGATTTCTATAATTATGGTACTGTATTTTATTTCCAGAATACATCAGTATTATGCATTTCTGTAAGAATGAACAATTTTCCATTAAGTTTTTGCATTTTCAAATTTGGAACTAATCTCCTGAGTGAACGACTTTAATAAGTGCAACAAATTAGATTGATATTTTTTTTATTTGACGTATTATATTCAGTAGGTAGACTATAGCAGCTGAATTACAGTTTTAACTCAAGGACTTAAAAGCACTTACAGAAAATAAGTGCAATCTCTTAATTTTGCAAGTATCTGTCATTGATTATGGAGGGATTTAGACTACTCATTCACTGTGGCTGCATTTCTTAGCCTAAAATGGAGATAGTGATGACTGGAATCTAAGTAATGTCACATTTCTGATTCTCTTGATACTTATTCAGTTACAAGTCTTAGGTATCACTGAAAAGTGCCAATTTGGCATTTTGCCAATTGTCATCTAATTAGGCAGGTAAAAGTAGAAGTGGGCTGGACACCAGAATTTCACCATTGGTTGTACAGTTATACCTGCACTGTGTTGTTCTGCTCCAATTTCAACGAAAAACACCCCAGGGGTTGGTCTGAGGGTCTCCTGCTATCAACCTCTCAAAAGTATTTTTACCTTGCTGTATATTTCGAGTGCTGTCTTATGTTACAGACTATATGCTTACAAACGTCCATTCTTTATGTGGGATTTGAACTTAGGCTCATCGATATGGCAGTCAGCATCACTATAATGGCTAGGCAGCTAACAAATTATGCAATGATTTGCTTCTTTCAGTTAGGAATGTTTATACCAAGAAAATGATTGTATACTGAATTTGTACAATTGAAATGTCTGAGAAGCATACATCACCTGCAGATGCTAAGTAAATGCAATCAGCACTATTTGGCTATTCAGTGGAATCTTTCTTGACATCTGTGCTCTTCTGCCATTATTCTGCCGACAGATTCCTTTGCAAAAGAATGCCAAGTAAATGCAATAGCAGTACTTGGCTAGTCAGCATTCGTGCTCTTCTGTCATCACTCTGCTGACAGATTCTTTGGCGAAAGAAGTCGAGTTTGTAATGCAGAGGAGTTATCAACTATATGCTGGATCTGTTTATCATGAGTGAATTATTTATGGTTAAAAAGTGGTCAAGATAGTGGAATAGTTGACTATGGAAACTGAGTCTTGAATATAGCAGATGAAGGATTTCATACTGGTGTTCACTGAAAGTTTGCAGTTTTTGGTGACATATGAGCAAGTGCCATCATTCAGCATGGAGCACCATGTTCACTGATAACTTTTGGATACTCTGGAACAAATTGATGTTGCACTTTATGAAATTTAGCATTATGGTGATGAACTGTGATAGTTAGCTACAACAGAAAAACATGATGAATTACTTCAACAACAAACCACTGTAAAAGCAGTACTATCTTTGTGGTGGTGGTGGGGCATTCATAAGCCACCATTCTTTTTATTGCTTACGATTATAATGCTGTAATCCATTTTTCATCAGATTAGACTATCCACTGTAAAATTCCTTCCTGTTTATCTCTCATATAAAAGAAACTGCACACTTTTAGGGATTTTCCTGACTAATATCAACTTGTCATATTCATGTACCCAGCCGTTTCATTTTACGAATGGTGTGGAGGTGCCAAACAACATAGGTTTTGTGTATATCAGTCTTATTTACAGCAACATGGACACTTTGCTGGGAATCAGCTTTGATGGTATTCTTCAGTTCATTTGTTCATTTGAACCTGGTACTAGTTAGTGGCCATGGAGTTCATTTTCAAATGTACCACCAGCATGAAATTTTGTGTACCAGCAGCATGTGCCAATTTCAATGATTTTGCAAATCCTGCAGATTGCCTTCTTTTGCTCACAGAGTAAAAGTGCTCACAATTGTGTATTCTTTGTGATTTCATTTTGATGAAACCAACAGCATTATATATACAATGGTCTTGGTAACAAGTTTGTTTTCAGATTTGTAATGATGTCTTGACATAGTATACATTATCCATTCAGGCCAATGCTTAGGATACAGAAGCTGCATATCCACTGTATTTGCAATGAGACATTCAGTTACAGTGATCTAATGCATAGACTTTCTCACCCTGTAACATAACTCAGAAATAATATATAAAACAAATGTTTACTATAAATGTTAAGAAGGGAAATATAAACTCGTGTATCATTAAAGTTCATTGTCTGATAATATTTCATTATATTAGTGTTTGTAAAAAATTTTTCATGTCTTGCCTTGAAGAGAATTTTTCTGATTTGCTGATTAATATGTTTTTCCATATTTTCCATTTAGAACAACAAATATGAATATCCATAGTTCACGATCGCATGCTATTTTTATTATAGCTATTGAGTCATGTGAGGTAAGAGAGCCAGCAGTGTAGAATTTTCTTTCCTTTATTTAAATTTATGTAATTGCATGTGAAATATTTCTAAAGATTAAAGGCATGTGAAATCTATTTCATAATGAAAATATACTTTAATGCTTATTTTAAGTAAAAAAAAATCACTTTTTCAGAAAGATTTCTAAGAAAAAAAGCTTGAATGAGCTTACATTTTCGAATATTTGATTTATGTCTAAACTTTCTGTAAAATTGCTATATTTTGTGCAAAATTTATTTCATTTATGTGTTAGATACATAGAACAATTTTACCTGCCGTGAGGGAGTTGTAATAATTATATTTTTTCATATTGGAAGTATTCATAGCTTTAACTTAACCCTCTGCGTAAAGCCTTTGTGATTTCCAACGGATATGAAATCTGTCTCGTAATATGTGTCGTATGAAGATAGTGTGTGTAAGTTTATTTCTCGTATTTTCAATACGGATCCCACTTTTCCTCCATGTAGGCTGAGAATATTGTGATATTCATATTTCATGTTTCATCTTGGCATCTAGAGGGCACTACAGGCTTATATCATTGTACGGGAGTATTATTGTTTCTTCACAGCCAAACATGATCAACGCTGTTGCTTCTTTCATTGTGGAATGATAAGAAGACAGTAAATATGCTTAATTCTTTTCATGATGTATCAGTATGTATCTGTATCAGTTTATTCAGGGATGGCAAAAGAAAAACTTAAGCTAAAATTGACCTATGATTATAACATTACAATGGGTGGTGTCAACAGATGCTATCAGGAGATGTACTATCCTAGTACCCAAAAACAACGTCGTAAGTATTATAAGAAAATATTTTTCCATATATTGGATCAAGCAGTATGGAATTCGTATATAATATATATGCAGAAGAATAACAAACATGAAAAATCCGTTCTTGATTTCAAGCTAGCTGTGATCGAGGAAGTGTTTGACAAATACTCTTCTGCTATATGCATGTAAATATGGTCTAATGATGATAGTATGAACGTTATTCATTTTGTAGGGAGATATTTTGCAAGTCACATACCACCAAATTCTGTAAAAAGGGAACCCAGAAGGCAATGTGTTGTGTTTTGCTCCAGAAAAAACAACAGTAGGAAAAAATATGTTAAGACACTCGCATGTGGTGTGAAGAATATAAAGTTTGATTATGTTTAGAGCCATGTTTCAAAGTTTACCCCACTAAACTTTGAAACATGACTCTAAATATAATCAAACTTTACCCCACAAAAAAAATTTTGTGTAATAATAAGCGAGTACATGTAATATTATTAACTGTAAAAATTAGTTAGCATGTATATTTATCAAAATCGAAAAGATCCTGTGTATTTTTATTCCATGCATGCTAAAATCGCATGAGCCATATTGTATGTTTTTTAAAAATTAAAAAAAAAATTATCAAAATTCCTGCATTATACTAATTTTGTTTATAAAGATGTGAATATATGAAGAGAGAGAAAATTTAAAAAAAACCGCCCCATATTTCATGGCCAGAATGTATCAAAAATGAGCAGTACGCAGAGGGTTAATAAATAAATGGAGATTTATGAGACTTGATATGATAATCTGATGTAAAATTAAGAAAAAAAAATTTTTTTATAAATTTCTCAAAAGTAATCTTTTAAATTTCTAATTATTTGACTGCAATTTTTTTCTATATTGTTTTAATATTCTGTTATTTTGTTATTTATGTATTTGCTGCTTTCAGAATAATAATATTAGGGTCTATTTTGTGTATAATTGAATTTGTGTTTACATGATTTGTATGGAAGTGTTTATTTCTTGTATAGTATTTGTAACTATTTCAATTTTGAGAATAGACACTGTTACGCCATCCTTTGTCTGCTGTAAGAGGGCACTGTGTAATCTTGCTAGTTTTTCTGTATCATAGTATATGTATAGTGAGTAGGAATAAATGTCTTGTTCTGAATGGCGGTGTCGATTTTTTAATGAGTGTGGAGTGCAAATTCTGCCCCTTTCATAAAAGAGTTAACATTTTTTTTGGTGTCAGGAAGAGGGATTAGGTGGTAATAATGTGTATCATCAAATTTTATGAGAAAAAATAGTGTGGTGATATGGGAATATGTGTTGCGCGGAAATCGAAAGTGAAGATGATGTTTCCATTGTGTAGATTATGGTGAGTAGTTATTTCGGTTTGTTGTAATAATGTTTAGTGTTAAATTCTTTTATTAGTGTTGTGTATTGAGGTGTTCCTACTTGATAATTTGAGTTGATAGTGTCTGTGTTGAGTCTGATTGTGTTCGTTTTTGTGCTCATTGTGTTCTAGTTGTCAATTCAGGGTCGTTGTGTTTTTCTTTGAATTAAGATGAGCCTGAAGTCGCTTAAATCATTAAAAAAAGACGAGTTGACGCTCGTGGCGGAGGAGTTGGGATTAGTAATTCTAAGCGAGGCAAAAATTGTTACTTTGAAAACTTTAAGAGAAAGTTCAGAAGTTTATGCAAACAATGCTGAATTTGTGCAAAATGTTATTGATAATATTCTAGAGGAAAAGAATATGCAAATTGAGAAACAAAAATCTGAAAACAAAATTAGATTAAAGTTAGAGAAAATACAAATTGAATAACAAAAATCAGAAAACTAATTTAGATTAGAGAAAATAAAACTTTCTCAGTTAGAGGTGGAATTAGCTTTAGCTAACACTAGGAAAGACTTGCTACAGAATCCAAATGTTGAGACAGACACCTCAAATCAAAATATGGATAATTTAATTAAAAGTGTCATTAACAATTTCTGTACCTACTATAGCAGAATCCTTTAATCTCCTTTTCCAATCAATTGAAAGGGCTTTTAGGACAAAACAAGTACCTGAAGATCTAAAAGCCGAAATCCTATTAAATATTTTGGGAGAGAAGGTCACTATTTTAATGATATATGTGAAGGAAGAATATATTAATAATTACGATAAACTAAAGTCCATAATTTTAAAGGAATTTCAACCAACCCTTCAAGATTGCTTAAATCATTTTCGTTCTATGCAAAAATTGTCATCTGAGAACTTTGTACAGTGTGCATCAAGGTTAAGTGCAAATTTTGAATATTATTGTCAATTGAGAAATGTAAAAGATTTTAAGTTGTTATGTGATCTTATGGTTTCGGATAAAATATTCAGTGAGCTTGATCGTGAATTAAAGACCCAGGGAGAGACGTGGTTCGAACCCCAAACTTTAAGTTGTGAATGCGATATTTATTTGTCATCTAAAGGTAAACTGGTAATTATAATTACAAAAATATTTCTAATGTATCAGGAGCAAAAGATCAAACATGTAGTTTGTGTAAAACTAAAACAAACCACTCGATACAAAATTGTCCTAATTTTAAAAGGCTTTCATTAAATGAGCGTGTTGAAATTATTAAGCAAAATAACCTTTGTTTTAAATGTTTTTCTTCGGAGTGTAATGCAAAAAAGTGTAGAGCCAGAAATTGTTTCTGTGGGAAAGCTCATCATTCGATGATTCATTTCTATAAACAAAATAAACCTCTTTCCAAAGTAGAGAACGGTGGCACCGAACAAACTCAGTGCAATGCTTCAGTGTCAAGGTCAATACATAAATCATCTGTCCTGTTACTCACTTGCAGTGCATATGTTATCTCTATTGATAAAACAAAATTTAATAAAATGATGCAAATATTATGCGATGATGGCTTCGAAAGAAGTTGGTGTACGAAGTCCCTTGCCAATTGCTTAAAATTAAAATCGCTTAGAAAGGAAAGGTTGTCAGTTTTTTCCTTTGGCTCAGCAAAGCCTACTAAGAAATTATATGAAGTAGCAGAATTAAAATTATCTAGCAGATACAACCCTAATCAGTGTATTCAAATTGAAGTGCTAGTGTCCGATGCTATTACAGCGGCATCTGTTTCTGTTCCAAATGAAGAGCTACAAAATATTATGCAGTTCCGCGGATTAGTCTTAGCCGACTGCTGTGACAGTAATATAAACATTGACATATTAATTAGGGCAGATGTGTAATGTAATGTGTAAGAGATGAGTTGTCGTTGGAGCTCAAGGGTTTGGTGGATTCGTGGAAAACATTGTGACACACTAAAAGATGTGTTTTACAGACAGCTGCAAGAATCTTTGATCCTATTGTTTGATAGCGCTATTTGTGATACGTATAAAGTTATTGTTACAGGAAATTTGGGAGAGAGCGTGTGACTGGGACGAAGAATTGCCGGAGGACTTGCAGGAAAAGTGAATGACATGGCGTAACGAAATTGAAAAATAAATAGACGTTACTATTCCGAGATATTGTTTTTTGGATTGTGAGAATGAGAAATCGGAAGTGCATGTGTTTTGCAATGCTTCACCAAGTGCTTACGGAACTGTTGTTTATTTTAGATATTGTGAGTATAATGGAAATTGCAGAGGAAATGTTGCAGAGTAGAGTGTCACCTTTAAAGAAATTAACTCTGCCACGGTTAGAGCTAATGGCCATGGTAATAGGTGCTAGAGTGGGAATTTACCTTAAGAGTGTTTTCAAGGATAAAATTGGAAGAATAGTGTTTTGGATTGATTCTTGTATTGCGTTGCTTTGGGTGAAGGGAAGTGCGATGAAGTGGAAACAGTTCGTTGCCAACCGGGTTGTGGAAATTCAGGAAAGATCGAGTCCAAGGGATTGGTATTATTGTCCGTCTGACGATAATCCCGTTGATTTGCTTACTAGAGAAATCTCGGGTGAGAAGTTGATACTTAATGAAAAATGATGGTCAGGTCCAATTTGGCTTCAAAGAAGTTTTGAGAATTGGCCCAAACAGTGGGTTAGAGGGTTACCAAATGTAAACAGTGCGGAAATACTAAGAGAGAAAAGAAAAAATTCTATCAAATGTTTTGTAGTTCAGTTGGAATTAGTTGAGCAGCTTTGGAACAAATTTTCAGTTTGGAGTAAGTTGCAGAGAGTTGTTGCTTGGTGTTTAAGGTTTATAAGAAATGTGAAGGGGAATAGGATTTTGACTCCTTTCTTAG